GCAGAGAAACTGAGCTGATCAAGCGAGCTCACCTTACTCTTCTGAGCTTTTCGTACAAATGACACGAGCAACTGCAGCAGGAAGAGGAACATTTAGCAAAATGCACATTTCATCTATAAAGCAGCTCAAGACTTGCGGTTTCTTTAGATTTATTTAACTTCACCTGATGTTATGCAATTAGAATTTCAACTGCAAGTGAAGTGATGTCATTACAGTGCCTTGCCTCACATTTTCTCTTCTTGGAGCCAAAATGTGGATTTCAAAGCATTTTACGTGGAGTTTATGTGACAGACCAAGATCAAGTCTGTCACATAATAAGGAAAGTGGCTTTTTACTAATTAAATTCAGAAAATTGGATTGGATCCGATACCCCTAAATAATATCTAGAACAATCAGCTCCATTCACAAGTCGCCTAATTAATAATTGAGTCTAGTTCAGACGTTAGAGAATATTGGTGGACAAACAGACAGGTCAGGGAGAACGCTGTGGCCATCCACAGAGGGCTGCAGTCTTTACAATTCAAAAAGCTGTTTTCCTTTATCTCCACTAAATAAAACTAACAAAAAAGTAACAAAAAAAAAGACAACTTGTGTTTTATTTAAAATTTCTACTGTAGGGATTTTGTTGTCGTTCCTGATGAACCACCATTTTGTTTGTATTCCTGGGTTTTAAAATAAAGGAAAACACAAAGCATTTTGCAATAATAGGATGTATGCATTTATATTTTTAGATATTTGTGGGAAACTATGCAAAAATAAAAGCACAAATAGTTCTAAAAGAAATAGTCATGGTATATATTACCAAGACTATATTCTCTTATGGATATTATTTTCAGCTGTGTCATAAAAACGTTCAAAGCTTCTAAAACTTGCATTTCAAAAAACTGGAAAAATACTTCTCACCAGTTCTCATATTTTAAAATAAGGAGGAATTTTATTTAATTTTTTTTAAAGATCCAAACATGTTGTATCATCTCCCTTCCACTTCACATTTGTGTTGGTTGGTCACTTATATGTACAATGAAGTTTGGGGTTGTAATGTGACAAAATGTGAAAAAATAAATAAATAAAATGAAGGCACTGTAGTATAAGAAATGCATAACCCTAAATAACTCAACAGGGACAAAACAATGGTTGTGACATTTCTAAGTGGAAGCAATTAGTAACCAGCCTGCTAATTGGATTGATCAGTTAGACTTTCACAGCTTCACCTGATGACGACTTTAATGGATTTAAGCCAACGTGCCGTTTTGTGCCGGAGAAAAACCTACATAAAAAAGTCTTTACAATAAACTAACATGCATCTGATCGCAGGCAACAAACTATTCAGTTGCACATTTCTGTGAGTTTATGTTGGAGCCATAGAAAAAAAAACGATTCATATAAAGAGATATTTAACCCTCAGTGTATGCGGAAGCGACGTTATCCACCCATTTCTAGGCTAAATAACCCCTGAAGGAGAAAAGAAGCAACTTCAGCATCACTCTCCAGACCTTGATCATTTATTTTCATTTGAGAGAGAAAAAAAAAAAAAACACATTAATGTTTATTCATCTTGAGTTACTTTCTCTAGCCCAAATCTTCAGCTTGTTTTTTTCCCCCCACACTTTTCCTTCTTTTACATGTTTGATTCATATGCTGCTGAACTCATAGAGACAGCGTACCACACACGTTCACGCTGCAAGAATTTTCAGCTGAACCGACATGAATGTGTGTGAGATGAAGCTGAACAGCCCATGAGGCCGAGGGAGAACACACACCCCCGCACACACACAGACACAGACACGCACACACACGAACTGAGAGCTGAGCAATTGAGCTTCTTGGTGTCTTACACTTCCCCACAATGCGACCCAGAAATAAACAAACAGAAAAAAAAGTCAATGTAATCTTAATCAATATAATGTTTAATACATATCCTTTTATCAGGTAAATTAAATATTAGGCAATTACAGTGTTGGTCTAGTATTTTCTTTGTCTCCAAGATATTTTCCTTAATATATGTTTTGACAAAATAAAACGATTAAACAAGCCAACAATGGTACTATCCCACAAGCCAAATGGCAAAAACCTGTTGGATTAGGTTAACAGCGGTGTTTGAGAGATTTCTTTGTTATATTTTTACTAGTTTTATGAGTATTTCTGCTTAGTAAAAATGGAGATGATTCTAGTGGCGGTGAAACCTTACATGACCTCGCTGTCGCCAGGCGTGTTACGTTTATCTCAGCTGTTGAATTGTTCTGGGTTTTGGTGTGTTTGAGATCTTTCATTTGTTAAAAACTCTGCGTTATCCAAGTCGGGATCATGCCGTTTGCTGCTGTGAGAGGAATTTAAAAACTTTGGATCGTGTGGTCTTTCTCCATTTTACATCCATTTTGTGCTATTTTTCAGAAAATGAAAAAAAACAAAGCCTCAGCATACTGCTACTTCCACCATTTTTGACAATTAGTGGTGTTCTTCGGTTGAAAGGCTCACATTGAATCTTTCAAACATTCTTGATCTCATTTGACCATAAACATTTTTTCTTTCCCAGGGCATTTGACTTGTGCACATGGGTGTTCCAACAGGAGAGCAAACACCAAACTGCTTTTGCGGTGGATGAAGTAGGCAAACATAAAGTTTCTGAAAAGCTCTGACCTGAACCTGATTGTAAATTTATGTGTCAAGAAAGCAGCTCATCTATATGAAGCATTTATGTGAAGAAAATATAAAATACCCAGACAGTCAGAGTTTCCCCAAGGCTTTTCTCACTACAACTTTAGAACATTTAACCAGACATTTGCTGGGGTACGTTAGCCAGCATGTATACATTTGTGCCTGTGTGGATTAAAGGACATACATCATAAACTCAAACATGTTTCTACAAACTCAGTGTGGCGCTCATGCCCACAATGAGTGGATGTGAACGTCAGACCAGCACTGTGTGTCCCCAGGTCCACTTGTGCGGAGGCAGTGCGAGTGACGCGAAGCAGATTCAGGAATGCTAATGTTTCCTCTGTGACTTCTGTTAGGAACACAGTGATTAGACCTCCAGCCCCCTGGGGGGAGCCCCTCGGTGCCCTGGCTCCTGCTCTGATTTACTCTGACGTGGACAGGAAGGTCAGCTCTGTCCCTAAAGGGTCATAGAGAAGAGCAATTGAAGATTTTGGTGTGTGTATGTGCGTGTCTGTGTTTGTGTGTGGTAGGTTTCAATAGTCGGAGGCGCTTCAGTAGGATCTCAGGCAGGGGTCGGAGGGACGACAGAGGGAGGAAGGGGCTTAGCGAGGACTACGGAAAGGATTACGGAGAGACTAAAATGTTTTCTTTGTGGCTGAAAGAAACCTTAGAAATTCTTCTGCACAGCTCTGCTCACGTTTGAGTGGCCCTTTTCCAAAGACCCCACATTGGGGGCTTTTTTTTTTTTCTTTATAAACTTTGACTATATTGAATCTTAAATCCTAAAAGAAAATTAGGAATGAGACAAATAGAAATCCCAAAATTTCCATTTGTATATATGCAGTTCTCCTTCATAGTAACTATTAAACTTAATGAGGTATGTCCTACCCCTTACAAAAAAATCCCATGAAATTCACATGTGCTCACATGTGAATTTCATGGGATTTTTTTTTTGCAAGGGGTTCATCAATAAACATGAGCATGTCCAGTTTCTGACAGATTTTATAAGTACTTGAGGCAGATCCACTTACTTACATTATTTTAGTGAAAAATCAAAAAGAATTTCCTAGTTGTTCCAAAAACCAACATGAAAATTACCTACAAAAAAATGTTTTTATTTACCTTTCACCCCCCTCAAACTCAAAAATGTTGCAACTGTTTTCTTATAATCTCCACCGCCTCTATTTTGGTCTCCCCTCCTCATCAGCGTGGGGCCTCTGGTTATACCCAGCCACCGCACACGCGCACACACAGTAGTCCCCACTGAGATGTGCAGGAACTGGTTAAATACCAACCCTTCAGAGGCTCCGTGCTAGCAGATTGCAGGAGGTGGCAGCGTGCTGTGAGGCCCGACCACACTCCCACTGTTCAAGTGCAGCTCTAAGCGAGAGATCAGGTGTCCGGCCCTGAATGCTCGATTGAACTTAAATCTTTTACATGTGCGCCACGACTTGCTCGCCATGTGGCTCAAACACGGCCAGCCTGGCAACCGCTCAGCCGAGCCCGAGTCTGACTGACCTCCATGTTTCCACAAATTTTATTTGAAAGTTATGCAAATATTTTGGTTTTGATCATTTGATTTACTTTGTTTAAATGAAAATCCGAAAACATTTTGAGAAGTAAGTCACATGATCCTTTGTTTTATGGGGATAAAGTTTTACCATCTGAAGGAATTTTTTTTCCCCCTTAAGTCAGAGATGGAAAAATCAAAATTTTGTGGCATATTTCCGATTTATGGAAAGCGCTGAACTGCCGATATTGATCTTTGCTGTTTTAGATTTCTATACTGAATCAATGTTAGCAGAAGATAAAAGAAGAGTACTGAAAGCATTTTTCCTGATATTTCTGCCATAAGTGATCAATTATTCAGCTTATGCGCTGAGGTGATGTAACATGTTGTGTGTGTGGATATGTGATTATATGTAAGAGAGAAGTTTAAAACTTTAAAACCAGCTGCACTGTGTCTTTAGAAGAAAGAAAATGATTTGGGAGTTGACATTTGAAACTGTCAGAAGCATCTTATATTAGCAATTAGCATAACTAGCATTACAAAAAACAGTGGCTTCTGAATGGAATAAGACTTCCCAAAAGGTTGGCAACATTTGAAAAACTAAAAAAGATTTTAAAAAATTATAAAATCAATCCCAATAAATCAACTTTGTCATCACAAGTAAGATGTGTTTGTTTTCCTTAAATGTTCATCTCCAAAGCAAACCTAGACAAATAGGGCAACAGTAAATGAAAGTGTTTATGAAAGGTATGTTACCCCATATGTTAATAGATTTAGAGATCTATTTATTTAAATTTTTACAGAACTGACAAAAAGAGAAAACACTCTGGTGAAGATTAAATTAGGACTGTTTAATCTATCAATACCTTTCACAATTACTTGCTCTCTGTGAACCCTAGCAGTATAATTGCATTGTTACAGACTTGCACAGATCTGCAAGCCTTGATTCTCGCCGTAAGTTAAAATAAGAGATAGAATTATAACTTATAAACAGGTGAACCTTTCCATCTTTTCACAGGCTGTGACTGGAGATTCGGGTGTTTGGTGCGGGCCAGCTAAATGTAAGTTATCCGTTACCTTTTTCCTGAGCAATCTTTGATTCTACACTTGACCATGTGTGAATAAAATGTTAATGCTTTATGAGCTAAGTGATGTATACCAACGGAGAAGTCCTTCTGCCGCTAAAATCGTACACGGCTCCGTTTTTGTTTACATTTTGTGAAGCAGGAAGTTATGCTGGTCTTCTTCGGCGGTTTAGTGGCGATTCCTTTGGTAGTTTGTGGTGCAGCGCCACCACAGGCGAGGTGAGGAACAGGTTTTTCAGTTGGAGTGGCTCCTTTAACACCATGCAGCGTGAATGCGGGCGGGACGAGCTGAAAATCTAACAAACGTTGTTGCAATGTTGGTCCCCAAGCGAATCGAGTCGACTATCAGGTGTGAAAAGTTTTTGAAAATATCTAGTATTGCTCAACACATTTCAGTCAAAGAAAAATAAAACTATTCTTTTATTCTTTTCCTGTTCCGTGAGTCAAATAAATACATATATCAAAGCAACAATATTTCTTTGATTCAGAAAGGGAGCAAACTTTTAGAATTTTTACTCCTTTATTTTCAGCATATCGATACACCAATGCTTCAACGATTTGGTCTGTTTTAACCAAGTCACAAACACATTCGCATTATTTCCCAGGCAATTATTGAGTGATTCCTATTTCATTTTTCTAAAGCTGTGTCCTATCATGTAGTTTTCTAATATGTTTGTACATAATAGCTTTAATCAGCAGATTCTTCAAGAGAATGTCTCCTCCTTTAGCATTTTATTGTGAGCTGTTTTCCACCTCTGCTCTATTCGGCCAATAAGCAGTCAGTTGAAAAAGTGCTAAATTGTTTTCTTGGAGGATTTGAATATTAATGGCCGTCCCTGTGGTTCAGACTGAATTAAGCCTTCAAATTTAAATGTCTTCTGGTCCCTCATGTTGGCACCTAATTGCAAATTGAAGGACTGAAAGCACACAATTTAAGCTCTGGCTAAATGAGAAATAATCTCTAAAGGAAATCAGGGATGGGCTTGTTCAGATCCTACAACCTTGTGAGCAAAAATAAAATCAGAAAGCAATATATATTTTTGTATATAATTCTGTACCCCATAAACCTCTGTAGAAAATAAAAAGCAAAAGTAATAGTTTTTTTTTTAACAATGGGGAAGTGTTTATTTGTAATTATTCATAACTGTATGTTTCGTATACAGTCAGCTAGCTAGCTGGCTTGGTCTGTCTGCTTGCCTAAGCATTCATGGTGGTGATGCGGTTGTTGTGCAGGGACTGCTAATATATGCACATATTTGGCACTTAGAAATAAAAACCGGCTACCTCCATGAAGTCTGGTAATCTTCTTGAACCTGGAAACCCAGCAGTGCTGTCAACATGAAGTTTCGTACAAGTAAACTTCAGCACAAGTGAACCCAGGAGTCCATTCTGTAATCTTAAGTGTCCAACACACTCAGGCGTACTTCACTTCGCGGATGTCCACACGTGTGGACGTCCGCTGGACGCGTCTGAGCAAAGGTCAATTTTTACGACCGCATACCCAGCATCCCACAATAAACTGCTTGGCAGGAGAAAGTGTTCGCTTTGGCTGTTTTGTATGCGACGCCGAGCTGATAAGGTTGAGAGTCGAGCTCAAGGACGCGCTGCTACCCTCTGTGCTACACTGACAGGTGTGCAGTGGCCAAACATGCAAGTATCCCTTTTGGATTGTGGAAAAAGAAGGAATTTGTCACTAGAAATGTTGGCTCAACTAAAAAAAATCTGAACCGACAACGGCCCGCGTGCTCGCGTGGTCCATGCGGCTCACAGAATACTCACAGTACATGTGTGGGAGTCGTGGCACCTATGAAGACAACCTGGAGTCAGGCGCTGCGAATGCTAAAGTTGGTTTTGTTCACGTTAAATTTCATCCAGTTACGTTGCGATTTACAACAAAAAACAAAAACAGAAATAGAAAAACAGATTGCAAAATATTGTTGTCCACAGCCTGAACTGTGTGTTATGTTACAGACATATTTTCCTTTAGATTCTTTACCGGAAACAATTTCCTACTCTACAGTATTTGACATGTCTTTGCTAAAGTCAAGCTAGCTCTGTTACTCTGTTATTCTCATACAGTGTAGTCTTTTAACTCAAATGTAATTCAGTCCTTAATGCTAATGACTGTATTCTTTGACTATCTTCAAACTTAAAGGACCATGTAGACAATGTGCGGCTGCCTTTGGTTGACAGTCGGAGGAGGCCTTGTAAACTAAGACATTTGCGTTTTCCTCCACACCTTCCCAAATAATCACACAGCTTGTCTCCTTGTCCTCTCAGCCCCCAAGTGTTCCCCACTCTTTCCCTGCGTCTCCTCTCTCAAAATCTCCACCATGATTCCCTGCCAAGGATTGTTTTACGCTTAATTTTGTTAGACTTAATGAGATTTTACTAATTAAATCTCCTCCTGGTTGGAGACCCCCACTTCCTCATTTCCTAACATAGCCCCCCTCCCTATCCCTTTTCCAGTTAAAATCACTCCAGCTTTCTGAGAGATTGCTCAACAAGCTATTTTGCACAACTAAACGTCTTGCTTTTTCTTTAATGAATAACAGCAACAGTGAGTTGTAAAAGGCGAGGCCAGGTCCATGGTGGGAGTCTTCATTTTGTGCCAAGATGCTCTGGTGATCTCGTGATTGCGGCTGAATTTTCAGATCTGATTCGGTTTGGAGAGATAAGAAAACATTATGAGCACTGTAGGCTGACCAAAGCTAAAATCTACATCGGGTTTGGTCACCACACTGTGTTTGTCATTGCATGATTCAGTTTATGGGCCTTAAATGTGCTTTTACTTAAGCTTGTGGCACACAGGTCAGATACTATAAAGCTAAAATGTTCTAGATCCACGTCTCTTTTAATAATCCCTGCATTAGCCGAAGGCCAGTGCTAAAAGGGAAGTGCTGAAGGGTGGGATCAAATCACTTCAAGCAGTAAGGTCTCGGAGGTCGCTGCTGACAACAGCCGCTTGCTCTGCTATTGTGGACGCCCCTGTGGGACTCTCACACTGACTATTGTGGGAGCCAGCCTCCTGTTTCCCCCCTTTCAGTCCTGGATATCCAGTGCCAGGGCTCAGCGCCTTGGCCAAAATGTCCATTATGCACCTCCTCACGTACCCTTTTATTTTTGTGCACACTCATACACACCGCTCAGTACAAGAAGCATCTACGCCGTGGCCCTCTTGTTTGGGCGAGCAGGCAGAGTGCCCGTTTCAGATGGGACTCCTTTCTTCTTGAAGGCTCATGCTGATCAGGTTTCTGCCACCTGTCATTCAGCTTAGCAGGCAGGGAGAGGGTGGTGGGCAGTAGGAGGGAGGGGATGGGGGTGCCATGGTAATATGGCACCGTGCCAGCACCCTGCCTGTTGTTTCAGCTTACTCAGAGCCTCTAAGATTGTGCAATGATTCCTGAACTCGTGCGGTCGAAATGTTCCCCGTCTATCCTTACGCACCAAGGTTCTTGACCCCTCCAGATTTCTTCTTCTTCAGTTTTTTTTTTTTTACACTATTTCTGATCATCAAACTGTTTTTTAATAACAATGAAATAGCAGTTTCCAAACTGTAATTTCATCACGCTATCCAACCTGGTGCTATGTGAGAAAGTATAGTGTTCTCCTAAAGTCAATAACTGTAACACATGATATATCGGTATTGACATCAGTTCGATAAAGTAAAAATGTCCCGATATTAATAACCAATGTGTATTTCTACCTTATGTGTTTTGTGAGGGTTGGTCATGTGGTATTTGTTTGGTTATGTGTAGCTGATATACATGCATGAATGCATATATGTAGTCTATTGTAGCAATATCAATTTCGGATATCGATATCGGCCCAAATTTCCACATCGGTGCCTCCCTGGTTTTGATTATCGTCTGTGTCAATAGTTTGACTGCAAACTATATGAAACTATGTGATCGACCTTCCAGGGGACACATCCTGAGAAACTTTTCCCAACCTTTTTGTGACACGGCTTCCCTTGAACACTTGATGTTGTTCATTATGAGCCTCGCTGTGTGATCTCTCCATCGCCCTCGCTACCTCCGTGCCTAACTGTTGTCTCCTAGTCCACTCATATCAATTTCTGCCTCAGAAATAGTGTCTACCCCACCAACCCTAATTGTAATTATGTTGATTTAACTTAAACACATGCAGCTCCCTCCATGCTATCTGAATGGGAGCTTATTAGTTGGAATATATTTTTTATTTATTTATTCCCATTTCTCAGGGTCCCTGTCGGCATTTCCAATTACTCTTGTCGTGCGGCTGTAATTGCCTCCATGCTAATGGCCGCCAGACAATCGTGCTAAATGAGGTGAGGCCGAGAGGCTAGGAGCCTGACTTCATTAAGAGCTAATGGGATTTTATAAAGGGGGCTGCAGACCCAGCTCATCAAAAACAGCAAGATGGAGGGAAAACAAAACAGATGGAGGGGGAGAGCCAAATCACAACCAAAGTAACTTAGCCCGCTTCTCTTCCTGTCACTCAAGCAAAAAAAGAAAATCGTACTCTGCTATTAAAGAGCGATACATAACTGTGAACACAAAGCCACTTAAAACCTCTACTGCGGCCTAAAGTGGAAAAATCGACGCAACGCTTAACAGATCTGGACCGTTGAGCTGAACGTAAACAAGTTATTATAATGTGCCTCACGACTGGGCAGCAACCCCTTACCAGCAAAGTAGCAGCAAAAGATAGAAGAACTGTAATGTTTGTTTTTTTTTCTTTTTTGCTGCAGAGTGGACAGTCCAGGCCAAGTACTCCCACATTATTCACACATTATTTAGACAGAGGCAGAGCCGAGCGGCACAGAAATAGATGTAAATGTGGGTTCTTTTACACAACAGCCTGTTCCGAAATCAAAGGCAGTGATCCAAAGTATAAATCTGTGCGGGTTAAATAACAAGTGCAAGCAGAAACCGCTCAGGTCAAGACTAACAAAGCAGCTAAGACATGTTTACTGCATATGCATAATGCATTGT